CCAAGCTATATTAAAAGTATACTGATTTATGGGGGCGCCAACAAATATCGATTAGCGCGATACACAAAGTATGTAAAGTCAATGGGAAAAGGAAAACAGATATGGAAAGTGCACTCCTCATGTTTTTAGCTCTCGAAAAAATACCTCCTGTATGACTAGTATGTCAACAATGCAAGCAATCGCATATTGAAGATATTTTTCAAACTACATTGGCAACTTGTATATTTGTATATTATATGAAAATTACATGACGCCTAAAATCACATTTTTCAATCCTTGAGTCTTCGTAGATTTGAAGTTGTGGTATAATGCTATTGCGAATCAGCCAGGACAGCTAAAAAACCATTGCATCCAAAATTCGGCAATTAAATTGAAATTGTCACTAAAATATAATTGGATTGAATTTATTTAGTGACTCAATATCATACTATTGTAAGAATTTTTCCAAACCGGCTATGTTCCATCCACTTAACTACAATAAGTACAGACGTTTTTTCGAAAACTTTTGAAACAACTCTTCGATACCAGTAGTTTGGACATGAATCGTCCTGCTATTTCGTTGTTGTTATTGAAAAAAATCTGTTCTTCGGAACTAATGGCCCAATCTTTTTCAAAGTTTCAGCATTCAAAGATAATAAAAAGCCGCTGGAAGTATTCAGTTTAATTTATTTTATTTTAATTTTGTCTGATCACTATAGAACTCCCTATTTCACCCAAAATTTTATTATTTTATAAAGTATTTTGCCACTATGTGGTATTGCGCTGCTTCAGACCAGTCTGTAATCTCGCAGATAATAACAGACTAGCTGCAGTCGCACCGGCACCTATTTAATTGCTATGTTTGTGGGACTTAATTTCAGTTTCACTGATTTGAAAGATAATGAACTTCATTGAAAGTAAGATAATGTACAGGTACTGCGAATAGTCATTGAACTTTCGTGCCCAATATATCTGAGCATTGCTCTTCAGTTATTCTTGAATTATTCAACGTAGTAAAATGTGACGATATATCAATATAATAAATACGTTTACAGAAAATACTGTGGTCTTTATCGAAATTGACGAAAAGGTAAATAGTAGAACATAAATAACCGACGTTTCAGGTTGACATATACAAAACTAATTCTGCAATTCTAGATGTTGTAAATTATAGACTTTTTTCTTCAAAAATCTTATTTAGCTGTATTTATTCCTTATTCATTTATATTTATCCCTATATATTTGTGCGAGGTCTTAATCGAATCAAATATGTGAAACATCTCTCATAAATTGGCACTGTGCTTCAATTTTGCCGTATGCTTCCATAACATTGTTGGTATTGTGTAAACAAATTACACAAACGTGCATAAGCTTCTGTGAGAATTTGCACTGCAACAATAATTTGAGTAAGCCTTGTCAATATTTAACCCGAAATAGATAGAAAGAAGCGAGGAGTTTAAATGTTGTCACTTTATAAAGTTTTTTGTCCCCGCTTTTTATCCCGATGCAACATGTAATTTTGTACAAAGTTTAAAGTCTAGTTAAAAGCTCATATGTATGCTCACTAAAGTTGCATATTACCTTCACAGAGCTCATATGTGTCATGGAAGTTCAAATCTGAAATTATGGACTATATTTTTAAATTGGAAAGTAATCCTATTAAATTGTAGATTTAAATGGAATAAATAGCAATAATCTTTACTCTGTCCTACGCAATGGGCGGAATAGTATGGCCAGATTTTCAATATATTCTCGAGTGGGATACGTTGCCCTCGACAACAACAGATCTCAAAAAATATATAATTTCTCAAACCTCACAGATGTTTAATTAGATATTAGGAACTTGGGTGGCGATACCTGATATATGATTCGCCACACCCTGCGACGTCCTTACTTTGTGTATTTGATTATAATATAAATTTCAAGATTGCAATTTTGATCAAATTAATACCAAGTTAGTGGAATGGAGAACTCTATATATTCAAAAATGAAATTATAAGAAATTTTTATAGCTTTCGGCGGCCAACGAGATAGCAAGCTTTCGGTAGCTCGATTCCATGACGAATGTAAGGTGATTTAAATTTTTTTAGTTAATTCACACAAAACAGATGGCGTAAAGTTCATTATGAAAATGTTTTTAACAAAACTTCAAAAATTTACTGGGTAAGAGTCTCACCCGTTGTGAAGTCAGTCCATGTGCTCTGATAATCTGAAGAGGATTATAAAATATCAAACATTTATTGTATAGTTTTGTTAAATAATGTTAGTATGGATATGGATTAAATTAATAGATTAATTTTGTTTAAATTGCCAGACCTACCCCTATCTAATTTTTGAGAATAAGAAAGAAAAAATATTGCCCTACTGACGCGGATTTCCTGTGATTACATTTGGTGAGCTGGTATTCATTGAGCAGTGCGCGCATGCGGTAAGGGCATATCCGCGTCTACATATTTTTGCATTGCTCTTTAGTAAATTAAGCTATAAATAATAAAAACATTTACTCTTTTTATGTTTAGTAATTTTACATGTCAAAAATATAACAATTTATTCCAAACATCTGTATCATCATGTCTGTCAATTTGCCGCCAGTATAAACTAATATTATACTACGTAACATAAATGGAAAAAGTAGGGATAAGATTTGACCAGAAACATTTATACATTCCATACATAGCAATACGTGCTCTTTATCAATTGATCCGTCAGGTGACGTAATCTTATTGCACGCAACCAAGTCAAATAAGAAAACAACGGGTCTATATTGTTACCTCGCATGTCTACTCCGGAATAGAAGGCGACAGTATATGCAGCTGAATAACTCTGTAAAATAAGTTGCAATGGCTCAATAACATCGCATAAAGTATCAGACAAGTCTACTCTATTTAAAAGTAAAATCCTAAATTAGGTAACCTATTTTGCGTGTAAATCCAACTTTATTTGGAGACAATTATTTTCGGAATTTATATCTTTAAAAATTACCGACTAATATAGTAATTTTGAAAGGATTTTGAAAAATATTCGCTTGCGCGCAAAGTCAATATTCGTAGCCAACGAGTATTCTATTTTATTTGGAATGCTCTGACCGTAAAATGCTAAAATTTCAACAAATTTAGAAAACTTTTGGATCTTGTTTGTCTGTTTGCTACTGAAAGTGTAATAGACCCATATCCACGGAAAATACACGCTTTATATCTTAAAAATCAATATTTACCTTCTTAACGTAAAGCCTATTTGTTTTGAAATAAATTGCCCTTTATCACCTATACTTTTTAAACGCCATAAAATGATGTGATACAAGTAACGAGTTTGAAAAAATAATTGAACATCAATAGTAAAGTACCATCATTGCCTTTTTGCTATTTTGTCCTGCAGTTATCATTATAGAAAAAGCCGTATATACAAGTAATAAACAAATAAAGTCCAACTTCGCCATCCCTAAGAAATGCTTCGCTTGTGCAACCAATTGCTAAATAATATTCAGCATCTGCATACTTCCTAGTCTGTTTTACGCACAGGATTTAATTACGGTATTCCGCTAACAAGTTGCAACAAAACAAACTGTTATCCGGCCTAAAATTTGAAGCAATCAAACTAAACTAACAAATATAAAATCACAACGCGAAGCTGAAAAGTAATATCCCGATTCACCATTTAATTGAAAAATACGATACCTCCGCATCAGGCTCGAAATAGCCAAGTATATTAGTCATCTCAATGTTTATAGGCGAAAGAAGTTTAAAGAACTAAAACATCATTTTATACTTCAGAACTATTCAGCATAAATTTCGTTTTCCTCCTTTAAAATATTGGCTGCTTTGTATATTTACTTTGTTGAACATATGCACCTGATGACCTGCTTGATGCAGAAAACCGAACTGAAGTTAAGATGGAACGTATTTAAAGAATATACCATTAATCTAATCCAAAATTTTTTGAACTACTATTGGTTGTTTCCAGACACAAGTAGAATTGTGTTTTAAAGTAATTATGCTATTGTGCAATAATTTTAAAAATAGACGTTTTGACGTCCAATAACTTATATCTTAATTAAAATGCTGAATCATATTTTTTATTATAATAATAAAGTTCAACACATAATTGCAATTCCTTTGTCCGAAAACGAGATATATTACCATGGATATTGATATCTCCAACTTGGTTTTATTTCAGGCTTCTAGCTTATCAACATTGTAGTGCTAACACCGAGACCTCCTCAATCCTCGACGCCTGTACTCACTACAGCGGGTAATGCGTTCGACTTATATGTATGTGTTGGTATCGACGCATATACTCCGGCGAATACGCCAATCACCTTATCCATTGTATAAAAAATCAGGTGGGCAATCACGAACCGAAATGATTCCGGTCATTCAAAAGATATCAGCTTATTTCATATCGTTACTGTGGTTGTAGATACAGGGAGTTTTTTTTGAAGCGAAAGATTAATAAGCACCGTATATATGGAGAGCCTTGGCTCTATGTCGACTGAAATATTATAGATAAGGAATACAAAATTACAGACGGCCTTGCCTTGATATCATTTCACCCTCAGCCACAGTCATGCATAATATATTGTAATCCAGAAAATTGTTTCCGAATAAAGATTATTGATAAAATACTTTTGAAGATTCCATTTTATGCATAATGAAGAGTAGGAATGTAGAAATCTGAGTAGGTGCAGGTAGGCCGATAGTTTGGTGTATCATGGTAAGTGTTATGACTATACCTGCTACCTAATTACACTGCTTAGGTTTACTGGTTCGAATCCCGTGGAAAAAATATACGTATGAGAGAATACCTGGATAGCTCTCTTCACTGTGGGTTCATTTCACAGCTTTCCAACTTTTGAAACAAATAACAAATTAACCAATCCCATACCTGACTTGATGAGCATGGAATAAATATAAAAATCCTCTAAAAACCCATTTGTCGAAAAAGGTTGGGAACCACTGTCTAGATGCTAATGACAAATCCCTGTTCCACACATAATATAAATACCAAATAAAACAAAAATGATTAACCCAATCGTTAATAATGTAATTCAGCAATCAAATATAAGGAATATTTCACAAAAATTATGAGTAAATTAAATTTCAGAAGATTCGACGAAAATTGGTCGATGTTTCTCAACGAAAGCAGGTGGGGTTGCAACCTCGCCCCCAATGTATATGTATAGTTGAAACTGAAAAGAGTGAGCACAGGATAAGCTTACTACACTTTATAGATCATTTAGTTTTGCCAGTATTGGCTTTTCTTTTATATATATTAACAGTTAATATAAATCAGACAATAAAAGACGATTAAATAATTTCGCAGGTGTTCCTCCGGAGTGTTTCCTCGTGGTCCTCCATTAAAGAGGTTCATACCCAATATAATATAGTGGATAGGCGTCCCAAAAGCGCGTTGAACTAACACCAATCAAATAATACAATTTTTTGGAGTATCTCAATAATATCCTACCTTTTGTTAATGTAACTAGACCGGAAGTTGGTCGAGCCGTTATGAGCCTTTGTCTTATTTTGAATAAACATGAAATCTTATTCTAAATAATAAGTACGGTTTGTCAAATATACGCAATTCAACAGCATATTACCTTTGTGAAGATTAAACTTGGTCGCATAGTTCAGACCTGGAATTAGAGACGATTTGCTTAAAACTATATCACGTAAAGACATGTGTAACAAATAAATATAATATTAGACATGGAGTGGAGCTATCGATCGTTTGGTTATTATGAAAATATCGCCTTTCTTTTTAACGCCAGAACCAGTTTTCAGAACAAGTTTGTTGTTCGCTTCCAAGGCTGCAAAATTATAGTGTTCGGGTAGGCTGTTATTTCTTTGTTTCAACAATTATGAAGCTCTGAAGCTTTTTTGAAGCAAACTCTCATTCACAATATGTCATTCAAAATATTGTTTAGTAAAGATTTCACATAATTGTAACGAATTCTGAATATTATAAAATTATTCTCACCCTTCGTAACTTTCGCCCAATTGCCCATCTGAATTCCTGGAAAACAAATGAAACATTATTAACCGTGTAATGATTCTGTTGTGTAAATAAATAAATGTTTTGATAACAAAGTGGTGACCAACAAACGACATGACTGTGGAAAATTAACAATGGACCATTCCCCCTATTTGAAATGTAAAAAAAAAATTGTTCTGTATCATAGCCTACATAGCAATTTTTCGTACCTAGAAACGTTTTTTCGACCCGAAAGACTCGTGAAATCTTTTTGTTTGCGGATCCGCCAGCTGTTACGGTCTAACTTTTCAATTAGAAATGTAAGAACCCTCTCTTATTTGAAAATTTGTGGCTACGCCTGACCCACAGTACATTTATGTATTTTGCATTTCACTGTTTATAGAATAAATGATGACAGCCTCATATTTTATCACATTTTCCGAATTTTCTATTCTTACACAAACTTTCACGTAAGATAACAACTGATATATACTTATGTCGTACACAGGCGTGCATTCGTAGAAAATTGATAGAAAGAGTGACGTAGAGCGTATTTGGACAAATAGAAAAGAGAGAGAGAGAGACAAAAAGAGTTCAAACACGAGTAAACAGGGACTTATATTAGAATAATTACCTGCCTTTCCCATTCCAGCATAGGTGACAACAGCTTTGTACGCAGCAGCTGTCTGTTGAATAAATATTGTGGTTTAATAATATTGCACTATTTACCCAATTTATTTTGGAACATATATCTGAAAACTTTCAAAAAGATTCGTTCTGGATATTTAATTATATTTATAAACAATTTTATTGACAGTGACTGCTGTACAGCACTGATTTCTGTTCTATCGGCCAACTAATTTTCTGCGCATTACTTATTCACATTAGATTTTTTTAATGAAAGTTTTCGTCCAACCAAGGCCATTTGTATTATCTTCGTGAAAAAGCGCTATCCACCAACCAGTGCGTGTCAATAGCTTAAATAACTCCTAAATAAATTGAGTTCTTTTCTGTATATATTATAGTTTAATTCAATGTTTTTGTCGTAAACGATTCCATATCTCGATTTAAGAGTCTTAAGTAAAAGAATTCGCAAACACTAATACTTATATAGATAACTACCTTTGCCACCGTGCCTGTAAAACCACCGCCCGCATCAGCAGATAACATAAAAACAGGCACAAATGTAAGCACTAGAAAAATTTGAGCAAACCTCGCCATGCCCAATATTGATCTTGTATGTAACGCATAAAATATTTAACATTTACATCCGTCCCTTTTGCGCTTTAACGCATGGGAATCTCTGACGATATTCCGCTTGAAAGCAAATGTTTAAATTGTGATATCCCAATTTGCAGATATTACAAGGTCTAATTGCTGCCGGGTGGTCCGTGCAAAATTGGTAATCGACATACTTGAAGCAAGTTGTATTTTGGGCCCTAATTATTAATCTGAAATCAGCAAACTCCGACAATGCGACGGTAAGTGAAGACGGACAAACGCCTCATCACACTGTGTAGCCGCTGAGACTTTACTCACAGCTCTGGGGTGATGCTCAATAATTTTCCAGGTTCCTCATTGGTCCCGCACCCGACGTCGTTATAGTAATGTGTAATACGTAACTCATGTATAAATGGATTATCCAATGGGGAAATACCATTCATTCATAGTATGTCTAGCTAAAACAAACCTATCGCCTAACTGTCAAAAAAAAACTCTCGAAATGAGAATACAATTTTAATCTCGTTATGAATCGGCTTACCTGATTTCAGGTTGTGCGCCATCTTGGTGCGCATACTTCTGGGGGTCCTGAAAAAGATATTGGCAGCAACAATTCACATTGTATAATTTTTGAATGTTTTTAATAAATAATACCGGTACACCCGTAATATGTGAACCAAGATGGCGTACACCGGAATGTAGTATGTGTACCAGGTTAGAGTTAGGCCATAATTCCAGGTCCAAATACTAAGGGAGTCAGTCACTCGGCTAGTTTTACGTGCAAGTGAGCATAAGCTGCAAAACATGTAGAAAAAAAATCATTCTCCTATTAATAAAGCTCTAGTGATATTGATTTCTATGATAAAATTATAGAATTCATTTCCGAAAAGAGATTTTCGGATGTTGAATAAGATTTTTTTATATTTAGTTTTAATGGGACCGGAATCTCTTTTTCACCTCCCCAACGATTATAACAAATATCAGGCGTTGTTTGCGTGTAGCATGGAGCGACCACAAGTACCTGGTTCCAATTTACTATAAATGTTAACTTTTTTTAATTTCTTATTAATAACTAAGGACTCCAATTTTGAATTTTCTCTCTTGGGGGCGCTGTCGTATATCCAAATCTTTTAAAATTGAAATTTGCTGATTCATCGATGTGTATACCTACCGCGTTGAAATCTGATTTGAAAGTTTGCTATAATGCTTTGAATAATCAGATAAAGGATTTTAGTGTAACTCATTTATGCTAGCGGAGTTTAGTTGGTTGGTTATTGTTTACTTTCGTTGTAAATGAATACAACAAGCAAATATGAACAAACATCACACGGAAATGGTAGTTGTTATTGGTTACACTTTATTCCGCCACGGTCGATTCAGTTTCATATTTTTGAAAAATAATTTAAATGAATTTCAAACACACAGAGTGTTCGAGAAATTAGTGGTAAGTATAACCAATTCAAAATTTTGTTTTCAAAGAGTGAAATAAGATTGACGAATGGCATTAGTAAGATCATTATTTTCAACTATGAAGTCTGAATAAACTGTTAGAGGTGATCTTCCGTATACGATGAAGTAATCCCGACAAATCATCAACAAGCGTACAATTACCAATTTTAATTTGGCAAGTCATTATTTTCATTTGGCAGCTGATGTTCTCAGCTTTAGTATGCGTAATAAGTCATACGTATATGAGTAGTCTAATTCAGGCATGCGTAACAACAGTTGCCATGGCCAAGTTTTAATATTTCAACATTAAAATATTTCATTTCTATCCTGGGATAACCTAGTACAGTTATTCAGTGTGTGTACATGAGAAAGCCACCAGAGATATTTGAAAAACATGCATATCTTTGCACCGGTATTGTTACTTATAGGTGAGTAATTTGTAGATATTATTTTTGTTAGTGATTTTCAACGATGTCTATAAATAGATACAATGTACTTTATTACGCAAAGTTAATAGACTCTTTTGTTTAAAATGCTTTATTTAAATTCGAATAATCCCGAAAGTATTTTAGACTGTTGGGTGTTAATTTTAAAATTTATTCGCGGATTTTAATTATCTAGAAATACATAAATTTTTTATTTTAAAATTTGAATGTTGACGAGAATATAGGTTATGGATGTAATTGCATTTTGCACCATTTATCACTGTATATATATTTGAGCCTAAGTGAAACTCAAACTCGATCTAGCGGATTATCAAAAAAGAAAATATTCAACGTAACAAATTTTCAATCTTGTTCACCGATAGCGGCCGCAAAAGTTCACCAATCTGTTGGTCAGAACCAGATTAACGTTGATTTATGTAATACACCACAATCAGGAGTAAACGTAAAGTAAGTATTTCCTTAAACTCAGCATGTCGGTCTGGTGCCATTTTACATGGGTATTTTTTTTGTCAACCATTAGGCACTAAAGCTTCACTCATGGCTTTTTATTAGCGTGTGATAGAGCCCTTTTCAGCAATATATGTAAAACGCATTCCTCTAAAGAAATTGTTTTTACGCCAAACTTCCAAAATTTCAATTGAACTTGCAAGATTTTGTGTCTAGTAGAGGGTTAATAATTATCTCTAATTAATTAATTTTTATTTCAACGTTTACTTATGTTATTTTTCAACAGAACAACACCAAAACTACTATTATAGAAAGAATCGTTTCTCTAATATTCACGATTGTATTTACAGAATTTTTAAGTTCAAGGCTTCAATTGACAATTTTGATGACGTCACACCTCTAATTATTAGTGCAGACGCCCCCCTCAATGCACAAAAAGTTACTTTTTTCGACGAAAATGAGCGTAAAAAGACGAAAACATTCTATTGCCCGCCGCTACGCGTAAAAATATCCATTAATTTTACGTTTTTTTCACGTTTAAAAATTCTCGATACTTCTGCTAAGTATGGTGCAATCAGAAACAAATTCATCAAAACATCACAGCGCCAGGGATGATATGTATGACTGAAAATACATGCTAAACCAATAAGAAGTCCTTATAAAGGAGTTAATACTATTGGTTTCTTGTCTGAATCGCGTCAACAATTTCACACATGTGACTGGCGATTTTGAAATCGACGCTATTTTATACGATTCGCACTTTGCGTCACGGCTGGGATCTCTTTTTCGTGAAATATACGACTCTACTATAGAACATTGACTGTAAAACACCATTATTACCTTTTAGAGTTGGACTAAAGTATGTGCCATCTGACGGTGTTAGGTTAAATGTTTCTGATAAAAGTAAGAGAAGGAAAGAATACAGCAGTTGAAAAAATTGAACATAAATAAAAATCAATAAATACTGTAAAACAGATGTAAATGCCGCTTTAATAAACTTATAAATATGGTCAAATTAAAAGATATTTACCTGTCATCATTGTGTTAGAACTTGCAAATTGCAGGTGAACAAATTGTAGGTGAAAAGTGACTTGAACGTGTTTTTGCGTGAAAAAAAGGACATTCTCAAAATTTATTGATTGACTGAGTTTTAATTTTGTGTCTAAAATTAAATTTTTTCGCTTGTGGAATGAAATTGTTTGTAAATATGAAAATTTTATTTTATTAACAATTGCTGCGAATCGTTGATACTTTGCCAAAACGTTTAGTGCAGAAATGGTTGCCCTTCCCAGACCTTGTTTGTGTTATTGTTTGCTACATGAGTGCACTACTCATTTATTTCATGATAGTTTGATAATTGTGTTTTTAATCTTCCTTTTCCTTAAATAGAGAGTTAAAAATGTGTTAGTCTTTGTTAGCAATTCTAAACAGTCGCTATTTAATCAAAAAATCCCTAAATATCACAATCGTCGTACAAACGTGAAGCGTTTTTGTATTATATTAAAAGGCCCTTCACTGTATGAAAGATCATAGATTCATAGAATGTATTGCTTTGTGAGTTAAATAAGGCATAATATATACATTGTTGGTAATTTCATTGTTGGAAAACAAATATTTGTTCCATTTTTGTTTTTATTATAAGGATTTTTGGGCTTGATATTATACTATAAAAAACTAGGATATGCCGAACCAGGTGTTTTCTGAAAAAGGTACTTGGTATGGAGGGCATGTGATGTTTTTCTTTACGTATGTAAATATTCATAATTTCTGCTTTGTATTTTCTTAATTTGGTTTTGCAGAAGAAGCGGGTATATTAATGAAATAAGGAATTTAATTGCCGATGATTGTAAATCAGAGCACAGTGTACTTAAGTTCGAAATAAACAAAATTAACTTGACAAACAACATGGATTGCATAGGATCTCTGCAAATTAGTGGTAAGTAAAAAATGTTCATCTCAGAAATTCCTTAAGCAAGATATTTTTGTGTGTCAGTTTGTCGGTGGGTGCCAATAATGGTTTTGTGCGTAACATTTTGGGTGGTTCTATAGTCAGAAAACGAATATTTTCAGTAAATATAAGTTTTTTTTTGGCTTCATATATTACTAACTAAGGAAACCGATGACAT